GATATTAATGGTCATTAGTACTTTCTATATTCACTTCTGTAGCAGAATCTTGCATAGCTTTTGAGGCATCAACTCCTAATCACAACACTCTGCTTTGATGGTCTGATTGTAATGTAGGCGCATTTGTGTTTATTCAACACCCAGAGAGCCCACCTGTGGTTTATACTGCAACTATTCTGAACAGACCTTAGTTACAGTTTCTGGGAAAGAGCGTGTTATCTAGCATGATCAACAATATTTTATTTTTATTATTAAGTTGGTGTAATCAAGATATTCAAAATGGCCAGATACTTTTCAGGCATACCTCATATCCTGCATTCAAAGCATGAATTCTACTTTTGCAGGTTAATTTCTTTTTTTCTGGGCCCAATAAAATTTTTTTCTGGAACAGAAAACTTTACTTTTGCTAACAACAATGTTCTTAAACAAACTTTTTCTTTTTGTTTCTATAGGGAGAAAATTGCCTAAAGTAAGGATCAAGGAAAAAAAGGGGGAATATTTTTCAAAAAATTTACTGTATTTGCCATCATGTAATGTTCCTCCATAATTTATCAAGGGATATATCTATCATATATATTTCTTCCATAAAAAATTATACATTGCACACAACCAACCATTTATGAGATAGTGAAAGGAATTTGTTGCTTGTTACTACTAAGTAAACAAAGACATCAGTCCAATGATGTGTCCGCATTTAATTTAAAATGTAACTAATATATTCTTGTTGTAACCAAACACAAATCATTTGTCAAATGAACTATGATAGGTATTAATGGTAATTAGTACTTAGGTATTTTATTTTTTCTAAACATATTTTATATTTTTTTGTTGTTAAATATATTATATAACATTTTTTAAAGTATTAGTACTATAACTATTTAACTAACAAATGAAGATGTATTTGTTATGATTGGCTGTGATAATATATTCTTAATTTTATAGTGTCAGTTCAAGTTGACATGATAGTCAAGTAAGTGGAAACCTGTCATACTAATAACATAATTTAATAACATAATAAGTTATTAAGAAACTTTAGTTGGGACCCATTGAATTTCCTGGGGAACCACTCAAATCATCATCTTTGGGTCTGAGGGACTCACTAAATTAAAAACCTATCAGCATCTCTATGTGGTGGTTCACAAAAAAGTGTTTAGATCTGTATATGCAAGAAGAAATTATTTGGATCTTATAGACACCATAAATTTTATAATTATAGTCTGCAAAAGAAGAGATTTTGTTTTTGAGCTAAAGTTGTTCATTTAAGGGAACATCTGGTTAACAATACGACCAAACAGAATGTCAGGCCTTTCAGTCTACAACCTTACACAACTTTAGGCAAAGGTCTAAATGAAGAGGTTCACTATATGAAATGAAAGACAATGTAATGTGGATATGAAAAGTGATCAATCACTTGATTAACATAGAGAAAATATCTGTTTGAATTTCTCATGAGGACTTCTTGTTATTTACATTCAAACTTGTTTATTATTACAACATTTCAACCATTGTCTCCTCCAGTATTCTTCAACAGACACCCAAAGAAGACCAGAAGGCAGTACAGGCAAATCATTGTAATAACAACAAAGATGGATACATTAGTCCAAATGCAAATAGAGAAAATATCTTTTATAAGAAGCAAAATGACCAAATTGATAGGACCTCATGAAATGAATAAATTTTTTATTACCAGTCACTTATATAGCTTTGTTAATGTCCTTGGGAAAGGCATGAATCCAGACCTTTTTTTGTAGAATCTCCAACAGATATCATCTTGCTAAGAGTATAGCATATTTAAAAATTTGTGACTAAAGTTCAAGTCAACACATTTAAATAGATTGTTCCTCTATGAAGAAAGGGATTGAGAAATACTGATAGTCTGTCTCTTAATTGAAAACTTATCCAAACACAATATTTACTAAGCCTAATTTAGTGCAGCAATGGATAAAACAAGATAAGAAGAAATTCTAGTTTTTGTCTGCATTAATGCAACTATCTAACCTACCAGGCAAAGCAAAATATGTAAATGTGAAGCAAAACATGTGGATTTTGTTGCCAAGGGAACATGACTACATTTCCATATTATTTGGATCTAGGGTAGAATTGGGATTGGGAAAAATGGAAAATATAAAGAATTAAAATATTTGAATTTGATATCTATAAATTGAATTGTCCCTCTTTCTTATCTGTTACTGTCTTTGGTATAGTTTTTTTTTGTGTGGAAAAATATAGTGTTATTTGTAAAGCTTCAAAACTGCTTCCTGCAAGTGTTTAACCATTCAACAACAGCGAATATAATTGAACTATTGCTTCCCCATGGAAAACATATGTGGAAAAAGAAAAAGAAAGAAATACTACATGAAGTAGATATTTATACAGTGAACCTTGAGAGATTTTGATTGAAGTGAGTTATATACACTTCTGATATATATTTCATACTTCTCCAAACATCTTTTTATGGATACCCAGGTTTGAGTAGATGCCCAGCTTTTTTTAAAATGTGAATTGACTGCTGGCTTACACAGTCAAGAGACTTAATAAAGAAAATATGCTCTTCAGCAGGGTTTGAATCTGCTTCCTTCCTTTGGAGGAGAAACCACCATCTGATCAGGCATCCTTTAGACCACTTAGCCAAAGGGGTTTACTGTCCTGGGTATGGCGATATACTACATCCACATCCTGGGTAAAACAATAAACTACGTCCAACAGCAAGCCCTCTGATGAGGAGATTTTGAGGAGCATGGAACCACCTCTTAATTGCTGGTGTTCCCAGGTCTACCCTGACCCGGGGTGGTAGTACCTGTTAGGGTCCCAGTTATCGGCAAATAGTTAACCCCTAAACTGGGGTCAAAACTCTGTGAAAGTGTAAAAATAGGTTTTAATACCAGAAATACTTTGTAAAAAATTATTACCATCAATAAATTTTTGAAGAAAAAAAAAATATTATCAGCAATACGTTTTTGAAAAAAAATATTACCAGCAAAAAAGATTTTGTCGGCATTAAATAATTCATTGAGGTTGATATGCCATAAAACAAACCAAACCACAGAGGTTTAAAGCATGATGGATCAGATAGTGGTTTCTCCTACAACAGGGGATACAAGTTCAAACCCTGCTGAAGAACACATTTTTTAAAGTCTCCTGAATGCATAAACTGGTAGACATAATTCACACTTTAAAAAAAAACAGGGTCTCCATAAAATAATGTTTGGAATAGTGGGAAATGAAGTTGGATGAAAAATTTATTGATTCCTTACAAATACATTATAGTCTTTCATCCAAAATCAACAGGCCTGACTTGATATTTCAAATTTTATTTTTTTCCAAACCTACCTACTGTTATTCCAGTCCACCTATTTATTTTATTTTCCATTTATCTCCCAGTCTGTCTGTTTATTTCAAGTTCCTGTCTCTAGTTTTTTGTTCCAAAAGAAATGAATTTTTAATGAATTTTCCAATTTGCCTTTTTATTTCAACCTACTGTTCTTTCCACACTTAAAGTTGCATCAATAAGTTTAAGTTCAGATATAGTTATGAACTGAATACTGTTCTGAAATGAACTAATGTTCTGTAAAATGTTTGATCAACATGATTAATTTCCACTACTAAAGTAAGAGCATTAACAAGAAAAATTATCTTGGTAAATAAATATCTGTTGGATAAGATTAATGTTATATATATATATATATATATATATATATATATATATACACACACACACACACACACACACACACACATATCCCTCCCATCTGATGAGATTGAAGATCTCTCAATACACCTACATATAGGGGACATATCCAGGATTTCTTGCAGCGTGGTATCTAAGAGGGAAAAAATTATCTGTCACAGTTGGTGATCAACATCGTAAGCATGAAATTTTGTGGCTTTCTGTCAGTGTAGGAATTTTTAGCATGGAAACTGATAAGATAAAGTAAAAAAAAAAAATTATAAAGTATTTTATATATAATATATATATATATATATATATATATATATATATATATATATAATATATAATTTTTTTAGGTTAATTGTTTGATTTTTTTTTTTTTTTTTTTTTTTTTTCTAAAATTTTCTTATCTCAGTATTTAGAGAAGCACTTGCATATTTTGTATTATTTGTTTTTCCCCCCACCTTCTCTACTGGCTTCGTTCCTTCTTGCCACTTCTTCTTATCCCCAACCCACTCTTCTTTCATCTCCTTTTCTTCCTCATTCACTTCCAAATTCTCTTCTTTCCTTCCCACTCTTTACCTAACCATCCATTGACCAAGTGTCATTTGCCCAGTTTCCAGGCAAAGCCAGAAACAGCAAACCTAACGAGTTTATCGGATGTATATCAAACGGACAGCCTGTGCAAATTTAATTCCTCCGAATCTCCAGTTGTTGCAATCAACATTTCAGGCAACCACTGCCACCCAACTGCTTGATTTCATCTCCCCAATCGGCAAAGCTAGCATCACCATTCCTGCAGTTGTTGTTGTTCTTCTTCTTAGCCTCAATATTGTTCCTCTTCTCAATGCCAGTTCCTTCTGCAATGCACTCTGTAGATTTGGCAAACTTTCAAGGAATATAATCAACTCCGTTAGTGGGTGGGATAGAGATTTGCAAAGGGTAGGGGTGCACTTTAAACTAGCCCTAGCCCATCCGAGCTTTAATTGATTAATACCACTCTCTACTGCTGCACCTCTGCCCGACTAATATCATCTTCCTCCCCGTCTCTTTACCCATTTTCAACTCCTCCAAATTACAACCATCATCATAGAAACCTTCAACGTCCATGTTTGCCTTCCTCCATTGCAGCATCTGGCTCAACATGGTTAGCCATGCAAATAAGCCATCTTGTCGGCAATCTCGGTGGCTCAGTTGACAGAAGAACAAGCACCACTCAGGAATCACTGCATGTGTGTTCGTCTGTCCTTTCTTCTATTTGTCCATCTGTATATATGCATTTGAGGAACACTATTGCAAAGCTTTGTTAGGCTTCTGCAAACACCTTGAGATGACAAATGAGCTGCCAAAAACAACAAAAAAATCTATAAAAAAGAAAAAGAAAAGATTAAAAACCTGTCTCCTTATTCTCTTTTCTCTCTACTATACTGTTTTTCTCTCATTTTTTTCACCTTTTCTCTTTTTTTCATCCTTTGCAGTTTCCTCTTTCTTCTCTTCATCATCATTATCACCACTCTCTTGTCCATATTCCTAGCTGAAATAATTGTGAAGAGGAAAAGTGATTTTAAACAAATTGTTTGAAAAAATCTAATTTATTTACAAAGCTTTTTTTTTTCCTTTTTAAAATAAACTAAATTTAGAAAACAATTGCAAGAAGTGCTAATACCAAAAAAAGAAAATAGAAAAAAAAATTTGTGAAAATTTGCAGAATCCTTTGTAATGAATGTCTTGATGTTTTAATGTTGATCCAAGCTGCTTGTCATGCAATAATCATTATTTGTAGTGATCACCTTTGATAGCTCAAAGCCATTGTTTCTTGATTACTGCACCTAATAGATGTATTTCTTTTATCCACTTTATTCAGTAAGGCTTTTTACTTTTTAATTAGATGTAAACAGTTTTTTTCCCAAATAAGTCAGATCAGTGGCTGGCAAGTGGGGAATAAAGATTTCATTAAAACAGTTTATTATATGAATGGCTATAGCAAAAGAAAATGGCAATTGCCATAGAGAAAGGAAAAAAATCACAGGTCAGTCCCCACTTTACAAAGAATGCTGTTAAACCATTTGTAAATTGTTACTTTATGTTATTGTGAGATATCTACTTTCAAAGCCTGTTCCTTTCTAGAGAAGTATAAGCATTGTGTTTTTGAAATAGAAATGATGACTGATTTTTTTTTTTTTTTTAAGCAACATTCCAGACAATATCTTCCAAAATTTCTATTTTATTTATTTTATTTTTTAATCTAAAACATGTGGGCTTAAATATTACAATGGTATCATTAACTCAATTTTGTATGTAATAGTATTTTTACATTGTTCAAAGACTCATTCCATCCTAAATACGTAACTTGTTTGATTTTATTAAATGAAGCATGCATGATTTTTTTTTTCATATATTTTGTTCTGTTTTAATCTTTTTCATCTCTTTATCTCTCTCAACATTTTGTGGCAAGCAGCATGAATTGGAATTAAAGAAATAGCTGAGATTTGAATTCTTATTCTATTTTCTTGAGTCTCTCTAATATGGACAATGCTTTACCAATGAAACTAAAGCTAATCCAGCAGACATCACTCTAATCTGTAAAGTACTATGTCAGACAAGCCTCCAAGAATAGAGGACAGAAGTTCAAATCTTGTTAGATTATTTTTTATTTTCAGTCTTTGATACTTGATTAAATCATAGAATTATATACAAAACAAGACAAGGTCTTTTTGTGTGGTGGTGGTGGGGGGAGGGTAGCAACAAAAAAGAAATGGGAATAAAAACTATACCATAATTTAAGTTGCCATCAGATTTAAAACTGTCCTTGATTGATTTGAACTTATGTCATTACCCAAAAATCACAATGCTTAACTAATGAACATTGTAAATATCGTTCTGTGCATGTGGAATTAAATTTGATATTTAAAATAAGAACTGCAGCAATATTTTATATTTTTGGTATTTAGCAATAGCCACTGTAATGTAAGCATTTCACTGAAAATTCAACACTTATGGCCATATCACACTGAAACACTGATTTTCAAACGATCACTGAAGTTAAGCAACGTTGAGGCTGATCAGTATCTTTTATTGTTCTTCTCCTTAACAATGTTTTCTTTTTCTCATATTCTCTCACACTCAGTAACCCCTTTATATCTTAATCACTTTATTGCCTTGCTTGGGGTGAAATGATTAAAAAAATAAACAAATTTCATTTTTCACTAAATACAAAATCCAATTCTTAAAATTCAATAGCCTTTTCCATTTCTAGAACTTATTAGAAAAAGCAATGTTGCAGAATTCTAAGCTGCCACTATATGTTCAGTTTGGTAAAAAGCTTTTTATAGTTGCTAGCATTATTAATATAAAAATGTTCTGTGATTTATTTCTTGCTGACTGACCAGTTAACTATTGGCTCTTACTTGCATCTTCATATAACTTTGTCAAATCAAACACTGGGAAGGTGAGGATGTTTGTTTGAACTTAGAAGAGTTATGATATACTTAATGTTACAGGCTCATTGCCCCAGAAAGTTTGAAAATCTTCCTTTCTCTCTAAAAGCTGTCTACTATAAAATGCTACCCTCAACATTGATTCTGTTTATCTTTTGTTTCTGTCTGCAGATTTTTGCAGGCACTGACGTTTCTTCACTGCTGCTGCTGCTCTCTCTTTCCTTTTCATTACCTCCTCTTTTTCTTCACTTTACTGTTGACATGGATGACTGCACTGGTTGTCAATGACATCAAAGAATTGTTAGCAGGCATTTTCTCATGTATCAGTGACTGTGTTCTGTTAAATCCAAAAGATCATGTCTCAGGATTTTTGCTGCAATATACAATAGCAAATGAAAGTTTCAACTCCTTGGTTGTAGCCAAATTCTATCAGTTGTTGAAACAAGTAAAGAGTAATTGCAACTTTTTAAAGATTTTCAATATTGGGATTCAACTGAGATACTCCTTAGGTATGAGGTTGTATCAAAAAGTTCCTGGACTAGTTGTGTTCAAAAAAAAAAAAAAAAAATAATATATTTACCTAAGTTTTAACATCATCTCCTTAAAAATAGTCGCCTTTATGCAGCAATACACCAGTTTCAGCATTCCTGCCACTTTTGGAATGTGGCCTAAAAGTCATTTTCTGTAAGTGAGTCTAGGACCTTTTGCGATTCACTCTAGATCTCGGCAACAGTGTTAAAACAATAATCTTTGAGCTGCATTTTCGGCTTGGAGAAGAAGTAAAAGTCCACACTGATAATTCTGACAAATGGGGTGGGTGCATAAGTGATAGAATGTTTTGGGATAGAAACTCATGAGTGAGGAAGGCTCGGTAATAGGGTGCATTATCATTGATCATTGTGAAGAATCAAATTCCTCACTCTTGACAGATCTAGTTGCTTTCACTGAACATCCTCTTTCAAACACCTCAAAACATTGTAGTAGAACTCTCAATTGACGGTCTGGCTCTGGGGGACAAATTCTTGATGCACAATACCATGAATGTCAAAAACAAAAAATGATGAGCATGCTCTTACATGACAAAACACATGGTCACAAATTTTCACAACTTGCAAATTGAACACAGTGATGTCAATTGGCACACTGGCACATGAAGGTCATTGCTCACTCTCACTGCATGTGCAACCATGTATTGCCATCTGTTTGCCCGCTACAGAACGAGTCCGGAAACTTTTTGATACCATCTCGTATTTGTAGAGATAAGATAAATCTGAACATCTGTGGGCCTTTTATACAAGGCAACATTTTTTATTTTTTTTTTTTTATAAATATTATCTGAAATACTATTCATCCAAACTCTTTGGTGTCTAAATCTATAACTGTCTATAGTAAGTAAAGAATTTTTCTCACCAGATTATACACCTGGAGAAGAACACATTGGCCTAAAACATGTTGATAAAATTAACAAGACTGAGAATATCAGTCCAAACATGTATATTATTATCTTATGCGTGCACATTACTCATTGAGAATCAAGCTCCTTTAACAAGCACACTGTACTGTATATATGGCTATTAGTTATCCAGATGTATTTATGCTCTTCTATGTATCAGTGTAAATGTGTATGTTGATCATACTCTTCTGAAAAAATATGATATTTGGTTAAACAGTTAGATTTATATATAATGGCACTTGTTTATCAATCTGGGAACACTGCCTTTCTTCCCCCCCCTCCCCCCCCCCCCCGTTTTCTTTTCTCCTCCCCACATCCCCCGGTTTTTTCTTTCCCCCCCGTTTTTTCTCTCTTTTTTCCCCAGCTTTTTATCTCCCTAATTTTTTCCTTTTTTCTTTCCTTTTTTTCTTTCCTTTTTCCTTCTTTTTCTTCTTTCTTTTCTCTTTTTCTTCTTTCTTTTCTTTTTTTTTTCTTTCCTTTTTCTTTCCTTTTTTCTTTTCTCCTTTCCATTTTTTCCTTTTTTCTTTTCTCCTTTCCATTTTTCCTTTTTTCTTTTCTCCTTTCCATTTTTCCTTTTTTCTTTTCTCCTTTCCATTTTTCCTTTTTTCTTTTCTCCTTTCCATTTTTCCTTTTTTCTTTTCTCCTTTCCATTTTTCCTTTTTTCTTTTCTCCTTTCCATTTTTCCTTTTTTCTTTTCTCCTTTCCATTTTTCCTTTTTTCTTTTCTCCTTTCCATTTTCCTTTTTCTTTTTCTCCTTTTCCATTTTCCTTTTTTTTCTTTTCTCCTTTCCATTTTCCTTTTTTTTTTCTCCTTTCCATTTTCCTTTTTCTTTCTCCTTTCCATTTTTCCTTTTTTCTTTTCTCCTTTCCATTTTTCCTTTTTTCTTTTCTCCTTTCCTTTATCCTTCTTTCTTTCCTTTTCCTTCTTTCTTTCCTTTTTCATTTCTTTTCGTTTTTCTTCTTTCTTTTCTTTCCTTTTTCTTCTTTCTTTCCTTTTTCTTCTTTCTTTCCTTTTTCTTCTTTCTTTCCTTTTTCTTCTTTCTTTCCTTTTTTCTTTTTTTTTTCTTCTTTTTTTTTTTTTCTTTTTCTTTTTCTTTTTCTTTTCTTTTTTTCTTTTTTTCTTTTTCTTTTTTTTCTTTCCTCTTTTCTTTTTTTTCTTTTTCTTTTTCTTTTTCTTTTTTTTCTTTTCCTTCTTTCTTTTCTCCTTTTCATTTTTTCTTTTCTCCTTTCTTTTTTTTTTTTTCATTTTCCTTCTTTCTTTTTCTCCTTTCCTTTTTCCTTCTTTCTTTCCTTTTCCTTCTTTTTTCCTTTTTTTTTTTTTTCTTTTCTTTTTTTTCCTTCTTTCTTTTTTTTTTTCTTTTTTCGTTTTCTTCTTTCTTTTTCTTTCTTTCCTTTTCTTCTTTCTTTCCTTTTCTTCTTTCTTTCCTTTTTTCTTTCCTTTTCCTTCTTTTTTCTTTTCTTTTCTTTTTTCTTTTCTTTTTTTTCTTCTTTCTTTTCTTTTTCTTTTTTCTTTTTCTTTCCTTTTTTCCTTCTTTCTTTTCTCCTTTCCTTTTTTCCTTCTTTCTTTTCTCCTTTCCTTTTTTTTTCTTTCTTTTCTCCTTTCCTTTTTTTCCTTCTTTTTTTTTCTCCTTTCCTTTTTTTTCTTTCTTTTTTCTTTTTCCTTTTCCTTTTTCCTTTCTTTTCCTTTTTTCCTTTCTTTTTTTCTTTCCTTTTTTCCTTCTTTCTTTTCTCCTTTCCTTTTTTCCTTCTTTCTTTTCTCCTTTCCTTTTTTCCTTCTTTCTTTTCTCCTTTCCTTTTTTCCTTCTTTCTTTTCTCCTTTCCTTTTTTCCTTCTTTCTTTTCTCCTTCTTTCTTTTCTCCTTTCCTTTTTTCCTTCTTTCTTTTCTCCTTTCCTTTTTTCCTTCTTTCTTTTCTCCTTTCCTTTTTTCCTTCTTTCTTTTCGTTTTTTCTTTTCGTTTTTTTTTTTCTTTTTTTTTTCTTTTTTTTTTTTTTTTTTTTTTTTTTCGTTTTTTCTTTTTTTTTTTCTTCTTTTCTCCTTTCTTTTTTTCCTTCTTTCTTTTCTCCTTTTTTTTTTTTCCTTTCTCCTTTTTTTTTTCCTTTTATGATTTTTATTTGTATAAATCTGTCTCTATGGAGTGTTATATAATCTTCCTTAGTAAGTACATAATTATTTAAAGGCAATATCTTTAAAATGTTAGCATTTTTCTTCAATTTTAAGAATATGACAAAAACAGCAAAATATCACATTTCATAAAAATTTGGTTGATTATCTAATGTTGTTTCTGATTATTTTTATTTATCAATTGTGTATTTCTGTAACAGTGTGTGCCTATGTTGAATTCTGTATGCTTATGTGTGCTTATTAATGTCGCTTTCCAACAACAATTCTTTATTTATTTTTTTCTTTTGTTTTTATGTATATTTGACTTTCTGTACTTGTTTATGTGGATGTACATATGTAAAAGAAAAAATATATTTTACAAGCATTTCCTTATGTGTACTTCTACTTTTATCAATTGCTATTATTTTTGAAAATCTTTTCTTTTTCCTTTTACCTTTTTCCTCTTTCCTTTTCCACTCAAAATTTCTCTTAAATTCCATTTCCCTTTAAACCACTGCAATTTCTTACTCTGCTCTCTCAACTGTTTCGTTCATTTGTTGATTTGTTCTTATTTATTCCAGTTTTCTAAGCTCTTTTTCCTCAGGTGTCATGCTTAACTTCATTTGCCAACTGCCAGATGACATGTTTTCAGAATAAACTTTGTTAGCAGGACACTTTGCTTGTAAATGGCACAAGTTTCTTTTGCCTAATGACCACAATCTTCTTAAGCACAAAGGCAAATGAGCTTTACATAACATTTATAGACAAACAGCAAGTAATCTTAATACAATGAAGCTAGTTTTACTCTGGAGTACAATAGATTTAGGTTAGAAATAGATCTAGAAAAATGTCATAAAAATAGGGGAAATAGTCAAATTTAACCTCTAATTGGTTTAAAAATTTCTTTAAAATGTGACAAAATACTTCCAATTTTGCAATACAAATTGGCAAATTATTGAGTTGATTAACAGAACATGCAACTTCTCATCCAATATATATTTTGCTTAACTAACTGCACAATGTCTCATCACTCTTTAAATGTGCATCCATACTCAAATGTATAAGGCCATCAGATTTCAAAACTTGGCTCGAAGCAAACTGTAACTATAAAACTAAATGAATTTGATTTATCTCAAAATAAGGGAAGCCATCAAAGATATAAACACTAAATTACTTAATGAGAGAGAAAATTCTTCAGATATTTGTTTGAACAATATCTTCAGAGACAGCATCAAATCTCTTTGGAATCTGTTGAAATCACCTTATTGATTATAATCAAGGTATTCCAATTCTCTGCCTAAAGTAAGTTTAAATTGAGGTCAAAGGGAGAAAAATAAGTTCTTCAACCCATTTGACATTAATCAATTATTTTGTAAAATCTTTGTTTAAACATACTAAGATAAATTGGAAAAATTGTGTTTTTCTCAACATTAGTGATTGGTAAAAGTCTGTTGGTTATGAGCCAACTTCACATATGCATAACCTTGTTAGTATTTCCCTAAATAATCAATTTGTTTTAGTAAATCAACTGTCAGTTGAAAGTTTGACTTTTAAAAACCTTTTGTCTATTTATTAAGACTAACATCTCATTTCACTTAAATGCTTATTGATCAATAATATTTGTTTTCTGCTTTCCACTTGATTTAGTTTCATGTTCTTTCTTGCAGGCCCAAGTGCCACTCATGAATTCCAGGCAGAAACTAAGAAACTTTTGGACATTGTTGCTAAATCACTCTATTCCCAGAAAGAGGTAAGTAGAAGAATCATTTATTCACATGAAAAGGTTTTTGTTTTTCCATAGATTTAAGTTATAAACTCTAATATTGAAAATTTCACTGAAATAACTTGAAAAATATCCATGTTATACTCTGATATCAAGAAAATATGAACTTTAAGCCAAATCATCATATCTGGGGAAACAGAAAGCATCAGTTTAAACTGACACCAGGAGGATATGGATTCAACCAAACCCAAATTAACACCACCCCATTCTGCTCTAATTTCAGCTACTACTACTAATAATTCATAAGTTTAACAACCAGTTTATAATTTTCACCCACCAGAGAGTACTTAGCATTGCTCAGCATTCTTCTCAGGCTTACTACAATCTAGTGAAACTTTCTCCCTTTCCCCATTCACCAACAATCCAAGACCTTGATTCCACAGAAAATCTCCTATTTAACTATCTCCACATCTACCATTTATTATCCATTTTTATCACATCCATTTCTGCCATGGCCAAGAGTAGCCACTTCCACCTCAGCCGCCAGCTTCCTTCCACCAACACTACCTGTAGGCACAGGCATGCACACGCATCACTTGAAGGGCAGTGACCAATGTGGTCATTATGCTGGACCTTAATAGGCCCAGCTCTGCCTGATCCAACTCTTTCAGGCTATCATCAAAGGGAGGTGCCAGCCTACTGGTCAGCTTCGACTTGCAGTGAGCATACTTCATGTCTGATGGGTAGGAGTGTGGAGGGGGTGCATTTCCCACACGACTGTTTGCTGAATTCACTATGGACTGGAGCCTTATCAATGCAGGCTCTAATTACCATTTCAACTGTCAGATGTGAAGAAAGAATTCTATCGAGTGAAACTCTTAACTTGTGCTTTGATGTAAGCCAACCATGCTATCAGGTGCTTGAACACCAGCTATTCTGCTCATCAGTTGTGTGTACATGCATTTCAAATAATGCACTTTAATGTATATGTACATATCCTAATATATGATACACATGTACAACACGCACAGATATATATATATTTCATTGTCTCTTTATCTGTCCATATATTATATCACTGTAAATGTTATCGTTGGTGGATACTTATATTTGATTAAACACTGTTTATATATTAGACAGTATATTTATTTATTTTCACCAACCAGCCTGAATGTTCGAGAAATTTTATTAAAGAAAAATTTGTGTGCTTTGGCAGGAATCAAACCTGCATTCCACAGAGTAAAGGGAGCTACCGTTTAGCCCATTGTGCCTTACTGCTTGGCCATGAAGAAACAGTCAGGCAAAGCCAATTTCATGCTTTTCAAGCAAAATTTCTCCTGTCATGGATCTCTTGAGTTTTTTTTTTTTTTTTTCATATCTGCACAGTTTCATATCCATTGTGAAAAAATAGGATAAAATGTTGAGACTTACCTACCCAACTCTGAATTTTGCAGAACTCGTATCTGCTCACTATAAGATTAGAGAATAAATTCTATTTGTAATCTAGCCTGAAAAATGGATACTGATTCTGAAAAACTCAGATTTGGGAAGATAAGTTTAAATATCTTATTTAATCTTTACTCTTAACATTGATCACTTACAAAAATATTATCCTCTCTTTCTCTTTATTTTTTTATTATTTAAAAAAAATAGAATCTGTTATATATATATATAACCTGTTTTACTTTTATTGTGAAAATCAAACACAAAACTAAAAATGCCAGAAAATTTTTTTTACATACCTCATTCTCTGATGAACCTTTAATAAAACTGTTATGGTCCGGTTCCTTGTACCACGGTGATAGTCCAAGGTAGAACCAATAAAGAAGAACTCGAACATGGTATGGAATAACACAGATATATTACAAACAGGAATATATACAGAGAAGTAGAAAGTGTTAGTACGAACAATCAGGTTTAGTAGAGAGAACAATGTAGTCTCGACCAGTATCACTATTCCAATGTCTTGCAGTAATTGTCTGAACGTGACTCTGTTTCGGACTGCCTCTGACTCGACTCTTGACTAAACTACTGACTCCTTGCCTACTCCTGAGGCGCAGTATTTAAGTATGGAATAGTCCATTATTATTATTATTATTATGAGTAAGATCCCATAAAAACCAAATCATGTTAGATTGATAAACTTTTTCTATTTGTTCTTTATCTTGTATAAAAATAGATTTGATTATGCATTTTGCCATTCAAGGCTTCATCAGATCCAAAAATGAAAGAAAGAAATCTGTATGTATGCATAAATAATGAATCTTAGTACTTTTTCCCTAAGCTTGTGTTTCTCATGATTAAAGAAGAAAGAAAGAATGACTTTTTAAAAAGTCATTAATATTTATCCTAGTATATTTTTTTACTCTTGTTTTGAGTCAAAAGTTGTTAATTTTTCCCAGCTTTTTTATATTGAATTTAAGGCAAATGCTCCTCTCATTATCAGAATGGCTTGAAAGCAAGAAATTAATTTATCCTTTTCTGAAATGAATCCAAGGCAAATCTTCATCCAATCCTTCAGAATGGCTTTGAAAGTAAGATTTGGTTTTTGGTTTATTCATGCATTTTTCATGTCAATGATATGTTTTAAAATTAGGACATAGAAATCCCGACAAAGTTTTTAAATTTTGATAATTGGAAAGACTCCTGAAGATAGATTGGTTTTAATTTAATTTGATATAAGATTCATTATTTAAGCATACACATAAATACGTATACACACATTTCAGTCTTGGATCTGATGAAGCCTAAAATGGGGAAATGCATTATCCAGTCTATTTTTATGAACATTTTTTCTATACCCTAATTTTAAAACACACACACACATATATAAAATATATATTCACATCCAAATTAAGATGTAAAACATTTATTTAGTCACTATTATAGATTCACTAGTTTGACTCATCAGACACAATTTTACTTTATAAACCAGTCAATGTAATTATATCATGGAAGGAGGTGGAACCATTGCATTTTTTTTGTTGGTGCAACCTACTTTCTTCCACACACCTGATTATTATGCATTGTTTACACGTTTATTCCTATCATATTCATAATGAACATTATGCATGCCCCCAAATGTTTTTCCACTACTGTCAGTTTTATGTTTGAACCACAATCATGCATGAGTAAGGAACAGAAAATTTGGCATTGACTTTGACGCACATTTCATAGTTGTATTTAATTAATAATATTAATAAAATATACACACACTACAGACCAAAAATTTGGGTCGATCCTCTGTGTTTAAAAGAATCACTCAGTTCGTTTTGGGCAAGAAGGAGCTTTTACTTCCTGAAGGTTTTTATTATAGATTCAATAATAATAATAGTAATAACAAAATTAAGTCATTACTGAATAATCACATGACCATCAGACCTGTAAGAGTCATAGGGGCACCACATGTACTGCAGCCGCAGTAACAGTAGGGGTGTGTCTGGGGCAAGATAGCCTGACAGAGCCCAACCCTCTCCATGATATTTCTTTAAAATCCTAACGTAAACAATAACAATATATCATAGGAAATATCATTGTTTATGTTAGAACATAAATTCAGAGCAGATATGATATATCGAGAAAGATTGGCAAAGGTGTGTGTTTAAAAGCATTAATTCAAACTTTGCTTACCCAGAAGTTCTCTGTGGCTGAGCAGTCATAGCATGCTAGGCTTAATGGTGGTTCCTCATAGGATGCAGGTTCAATTCCTGCTCAAAAATTCAGGCCGGTAAATGTAATTAATACAGTTTAATTAAAGAACAGAGCATTTACTTAAATAAGTGTATCCATACAAAAAATAATGTATAAACAGAAAATATATTATCTCTCTTATATATATATATATATATTTGTATATTTAGGCAGCAATCCTTCCTTTATGCATGTTTCATTAAAAACGACAGACAAGGTACTACGGTTGAGCTTTTTATTTAATTTTTCTTGTGTTCTGACAAGAGCTTTCTTTTCTGGACAAAGAGTGTAAGAACTGTCCTAATGTTCTGTGTTTTTTTTTTAGCTATACCTTTAGCCATTATCAAGGATGATTCAATTATCAGCTTAGTAGAGTGTGTGTGTTCTGTGTATGTTCAGTGTATATATATATATATATATATATATATATATATAATGGTGCAATCGATAAATTGTCAGCAGAATTGCACAAAAATGAAAATAGCATTGACATTTCATTTTAACAGATATATTTACCAAAATTACACAAAAATATTTTGAAATAGTAAAGAATAAATTTATTCAATAAAATCGCCATTGGCTTCAACTACAGTCTCCAGATGACTCTGGAATCTCCTGCAAATCTTCTGGACAGTCTCCTTGTTTAAGTTGGTTAATGCTGCCATAATCCTTGCCTTCAGTTCACCATTGGAGTTACAAGAAGTTTTGTTGGTCTCTCACTCAACTGCACTCCACACATAATAGTCAAGGGTGTTGCAGAATTAGGTGGCCAGATGTAAGTGGTGATATGGTTACAGAAATTTTCTGACAGCGATGACTGGGTTCTCTTGCTTGTGTGGCATGGTGCAGAATCCTTCTAGGAGCCCCCCCCTCTTGACCCAGGGCAGTATTACCTCTTCAAAGCACTTAATGTAGGCCTCCATGTTGTGTATGAGAGGCCCCCACCAATAAATTCAGGAGTACTTTTATTATCGGAATCATCAAAGTGAGTTTTCTGAGCTACCATACCTTCATAATCACTATTCAAATCCTCTGCACTATCTAAGCACTCTGAAATGTTTGTATTGGAGCTTCCAACTCAAATGCCAAGCAGTATAGCATGCTGTTTCCAAATTTCCAGTGGAGTGAATTGCTTGATGGTGCTCTTTTTCTCACAGATGATGGCCAACTGACCTTACTATACTCTGCAGTCAACAAAATCAAAATCAAACAACATGTATGCACAAAATTAAAAATATAAAATGGTGACATATATATATATATATATATACACACACACACACACACACATTGATTCTTAATATGAATTTTGCTTAGAATATCTACTCGGATAATAATAAAGGTTGATATTGCTGCAAAAGAAAAGTAATATATTTACTTTTATTTTAACAATCAAAATATCTGCCTACAATATTAACAATTTGCTTGAATAACAATATTGAAAGTAAAAAATGAGAAATGTTTTACTCTCAGGGTATCTGTTTCAGAACACTTAGACTCTCATGCCATTTCCTGTGAAATGATTTTCATTATCCTGTGAACTCCTACAGCTGTGACTTTGTGTCAGACTAAGCTAAACTTCTACTAGCAAGTCACTTCTCTCTTGATCTTCCTTATACTCTAAAATATCCATTTGTCAATTTTATGAACATTAGATGTAAAAAAAAAAAAATTACTATGTATAAATGTTTATAGGGATGTATTTCTGTCAGTTTGAAGTGTGCTTAAATTTATACATTTTAATAGAAAATTGTAATATAATCTTGATAAGTCTAGAACTGAAATCATTGCTATTCTATTCCAAAAAATTAATTTTTTAAGAAAAAAGTATGTATGATTTTTCTTTAACTTATTAGTTTGTCTGTCAGGTTATCCCCATGTGTCAACATAGGGATTTCATTTGCATATATATTATGAGACAGAAGTGCTACTCTGTGTCCCCAATTTCCATCTAACTTGGAATAATTTAATTTATTGTTTCATATAAAAGATCTTTTGCAGAATATCATCACCATTCAAAGCCACAACTCTGGTCTGTTAAAATCTGCCATTGGCCACATTCAACATGCTGCTACTGACGCCTTCACTGTAACCTTGGCAGGGGTAGTTTCTAGGTGTTATGCCTTGTCATTTGGTCCAGGCCACATACAGTTTTGATTTAATAGTTGTCCTTCTCCTAGACTCATTGCCAACCACAACTAGAGAGCCCAGTATGCCTTACTATTTAACCCATAGCTATGAGATGAAATCATACCATTCTCAATTAGAATAATTGGCACTGTGCAGTAATGGATTGAGGAATCAGAGTTGAGTTCAAATTTCAGTTGAGTTCATTGTATTTACTTCATACTTTGGGAAAGGTATGGATGTATCTTTTCTCCCTGGCTATGTGTAAATAGCAAGACAGACTGGGTCCTGTAGCCTTGGTTGGCCACCAGTCTAGAAGATGGAAAACTGAATTCAAACCACCTGCTGCCTTGTAGGTCTACCTCTTTAACTTCTGAAAGGAGGGATGGGGTAACCTCAACATCCCGGGGGTGCAAAAGGAACCGGCAAGCCATTGCACTATTCTGCCTTGAATGTCACCCATGAACCACAATTGTAAGATAGGGGGGGGGGTAACTACAGCAGTGCAAAATGCGCTAACTGAATAAATGATAATGATTAGCACATAAGTGAATGTAATGAACTCTATTAAAATTTGAACTCGGTTCACCAACTTCTCATTTTTAGCTGCTGTCTATTATATTACCTTTACATCCTTCATTTTCTTCAAATAGTGTAGAGACTTACTGCACTTAGTCATGTTTAGCATAGTAGAGAACCTAGTGAGTATCAAATTCATTGGCAGTGACCTATCAATATACAGCAAGTGCCTTTTTTCTTAAAATAATCTCTGTAACAACATAACTACGTTAATGTATGAAAGTAAATCCTAAATCAATTGAATACTTAACATTTTCTTTGTTCATTTATGAAGACTTAATCAAATGAAAATTGCTTTATTCTATTAAATCCTATTTCATGTTTTGATCCTTTTTATCATGAAACATTGTTTCCCCCCCTTTGTACAATTCTTATCTTCTCATTGTCATGTATTACTTGATTATTTATTTAGAGCTCTGCAGTGCTGCTTGCTTTGTGCACCATTTTGATCATGTGATATTATAAATAGATTACAAACTATGTTATCAGTTAACCAACCAAATGCTTTGTATAAAGACGAGATTTGCTCAAACAAAATGGCTGGCTAGTTTAATTACATGAGAATAAATTCCTTTCTCATCTCTTCAGTTTTTGCAGTGAAGTGAGATGTTTTATGAGCCTTCATCGACAGGCTGTTTATTCACCAAGTCTGCATCTTAAAGGGCATATAGGTACATGACTGTATTGAGTGTGTCTGTCTGCCTGTGTGTGTGTATATGTTAGCCTATCTGTTGATTTAGTTATGAGGGAAAGGATATGATAAGCGATACATTTGCACACCCTTCACATACTGTATGGTAAGGATATGTATGTAAATAGATTCCATGAAATGCAATATTACTGTATGGCACTTATTAGAAACTTAGTAACTCTATCTGATTCATGTACTCTCCTTTAAGCTCAATACATGTAAGAATATAATTATGAGAAATAATTGATAGCTTTTTGTATTATGTGACTTTTATAACCATAATCTTTCTTTAAAACTTTTATTCACTCTTACATTAGAATTTGAATTGAGGGCTCCATCATATCATTATAAAAACAAATTCTGTATTCCAAATAGCTTGTCTGTTGTTGCAATGTCTTTGTTCAAATTAGCTGAGAATTAAGAAGGTCATAGAGAGAATATCAAAAAAACAAGACGACTAGTAGAGAAAACAAAGAAGAGTTTTATTAAATACTCTTATATAGAGCGGGAAAACTTAAGTCAAATACTATTCAAATCCTACTCTAATGTGGCTACTTGCCATATTTATGAATAGTAGTATATTGTCACAGTAGTAGGGAAGAGCAGGAAGTATGCTGAGTCCTACTCAACAGCATATGTACTAGTAGATAGAGTTGATAAAAAATACTTTTCAGGATATGAGTGATCATGGCTCTCCACAGCTTCCAGTCTTTGGTTACTCTAACTTTTACCATCTCTGTTTTTCCTTGTCCAAACTTTGTAAGATTACTTACTGTTTTCCCTCTGCTTCTCTTGCTTTCAGTATGTCCTGTAAGTAATAAATTCTTCAAGCTCTCTTTCCTCCTCGTGTTTCAAAAATATCAGTTTCGTTATTGTTTCTATTTTCCTTAACCTTTCTTTTTTTGCTCACATGTTTTGCCTATGGTATTCTCAGTATTCTCCATTAGAACCACATGTCTATTTTTTCAAGTCTCTTCATCTGTGAGGAGATTGTTCAACATTCACTTACAGATGAGACATTTAATAAAACATTCGAATAGTATTTTATACTTTATGCAGATTATAAAAAAAAAATTAGATAAAATATATATATATATATATATATATATATATATATTTTGTAATAAATTATTTGAATTTGAATTCATATTTATAATTGTTTTTAAAATGATTTATTCTCAGAATATTTATTGTATGGTACTAATATCAGAAAGCAACACATCTTTCCCCACAAGTTGCCTATTTAAACAAATTATATTTTGCATACATCAAATTAAATTTGTATCTGAAGTTGAACCATATCGCTCAAACCCAGCACTATTCATTAATAATATTTTTAATCTTAACAAAACTGCACATCAAATATCAGTTTTTCTATCCAGAAAAAGTATAATAAAAAATGTGTGAAAATAAATTAAATATAGATTTTATTGGCAGAAAAATATGAATGATTTTCAGTTTGATTATTGAATATTTTTTCTATTAACATTTAGAGACCAGGATAAATGTAAGAATCTGATGTCACTTTTCATTACTCAGATATTTTAAAAGTAATTAAAATAAATACTGTATTTTTTTTTTTTTTTTTTTTTTTTAAAGTGGAAAATAATTATAAAAACCTTATTTACAGATCAGAAAGCATTAAAAAGTTTTTATTCTATCTAAATCTAAAAAAATCTATTTTTCCCCCTTGGAATGATATTTTTTTTTTTTTGTTCCTCTTTTTCCAGGTGTTTATTCGAGAATTGATTTCCAATGCGAGTGACGCTCTGGAAAAGCTACGTTATCACCAAGTGTCAGCCACAACAATACGGGATCCAGAATTGCCCCTAGAGATCCATATCGGTTTGGATGAAGAAAAGAAGACATTTACTATTCAGGTAAAGAATTGCAATAGGTTTTTAATGCAAAAACAAATCAGATCCAGATAGATTTAATTTTCTTGAATCAAAAGATTGAAATGTATGGTATTTGTCTATAACCCAGTTGGGCTCTCTTGAGAGGGCTTGATATAGCAATGAAACACAATCAGTAGCCACCACCACATAGTGAGAAACGTACTTGATGGTAGTTTTCAGTAAGTACACAGTTTTTGTAGCTTCAATTTTTTTTTTTTTTTTTTTCATTTGTTGTTTTTGAGGTTGAAGAAAGTTTTAAAGAGAAGTTCTTATTGCTTTGTTTAGATTATAACATTTTATCGATTTATTTAATTTAAACATTTCAAAAGTGAAAAATTCCAACAACAGTACATAAATGAAACAAAGCAACAATCTCAAAGTTTTTTTACTTTTATAAATTTCAAGAAAATTTATGCCTTTTAATAAAACAAATGTGACTATTGCATTCAGAAAAGAATTTTTTATGCATCACAAAATAAATTTTTAGAAGACAAATTAAAATGAGTGGACACAAAAAGAAATGCCTTGGGAGAAAAGAAACCACAGATCAATAAGATGAAAGCATACAATGCAGTAACTTTTAAGCAACTAATGGAATTTTCTTTTTCTTTTTAAATCAACATTATTACTATAAATATTATAACTTAGTGGATATACCGTTATGTAAACATCCCTGTTTTCTAACCATCAAAATTCATGTCTACTAGCCTAGAGATTGAAAGTCTTAATAAATAAAATGTGCCCGCCACCTCACACACACCAACAGAAATTGACCTATATTTCTTTTTAATCTGTGAAACTGCTTTCAAATCAATTGTGTTTTACCATTAATTTCAGTTTGAAAAAAAAATGAAATGTCTATGAAGTATGACATTGATTGTAAATTAAAGGGAATCACTTAACAAATCTGTAAAATTAAAGCAAATCAATTAAATAAAAGTGATTTTATCATGCCTTTTTTTTCTTTCATTTTTATTTGTTTAATTTAATGGTAAAAAAAAAAAATCTAAAAGGTAAAGTTGAAAGATACTGCCAGATCGTAAATACAATAAACTGTGTTCGTATTCAAGATTTAAGATTTCTTTCAACTGTCATACTTTATTAAAAGAAAACATTAGCTTTCCACTCCTGGTTTGACATGATGGGATCATGGTTCATTTTTAGCAAACCTATTTGTTCCCAACAATAGTTTGACTCTTTTTTTCATAAAATGAAACTAATCTTTTTTTTTTTTTTTCAATTTTCCTTTTTTGTTAAGGATACTGGACTTGGTATGACCAAAGAAGAAATTATTCAAAACTTGGGCACTATTGCAAAATCAGGATCAACTGTAAGTTCATGTTTTTTGATTTCTAGTGTTGTGTGGAACAACTCCTTTTTTATATTCAGTCACCTCTTGAGAGATTTGCATCTACCTTAAAATTGTATTTGGGTAATTATCATAGATAAAGCAGTTGGATACATTTAAACATTTTAGGAATGAGAAATCAGAAAGCTGAGTTTGAATCCCTATCAAGTTTATTACTTTCACTTACATGCAAATACTTTTGGGAAAGATATGAAATCATTTTTTCACCCTCCAGTAGGACAAAATTGGTCTTATAAGTCTTGGTTGGCTACCTACTGTGGGAAAATCTTCTGCTTAGTCGTGAATCAAGAGACATGATCGCCCAACTGTGTATCATGTATAGCACTTAAGTGACTGATAATAAAGAGTAATATTAGTGTTAAATTTATACATTTATAATGTAGGTTGAGAATTAACAGTTAATGAGAAAGATGAGCTTTGGTGATGTTTTATTAGTGCGTCAATGTGTGGAGCTATTTTTGAGAGCAGGTATAAATCTCCACTTTTGAGCAATTTTGCAACTATTTCTGTCTTTTAGTTAAAAGATAAATAATGATACTAAAACCTTTGTTCTGTCAAATATGATGTTGGAAATGAGAGCAGAATTTTTATTATTTCCATCACCCCTATATGATATTCACCACACACTAAGGGAGTACTGGCACCTACTTTGAGAAGTAATCTATTTACCTTTGTCTGACTTGTTTGTTTCTTCTACTGAACCAAAGTATATTACTTTCCACACTCCCTGCTAAGAAACCAGATATATTTTAGCCTACACTATTGCTCGACCATTATGTCTCTTGAACATTCTAACATGAATTTTGGTTGTCATTTATTTTATATATTTCATGTAGATGCCATGGCATAGTTGTATGATAGCATATGATTATGTTTAACAATTCAATGTTTACTTTTTTTATTTAAATAAGCTCAAAGATAAATCCATTATTAAACAAAACAAATTGAGTAACTTTATTTTATGAACAAGGTGTAAAAAAGAAAGTAAATATTCTGTAAATGAAAAATTAAATTTGTTAGATATTAAAAATATATTTTTAAAAGTTGTCAACATCCCTTACTGTTCAAGCCCTGATTTAAATGCTAAGTTTGTTACCCTCTCTCAGGGGGGAAAAAAGTTTATATTTGAAATAACTAATTTCATTACAAAAGCCATCAATAAAACAATTGAAAATAAAGATCGAATTGAAAATAACACTGTGGTAATTAAGTTATAATTACAGAACTTGCACAAACTTTAAAAAGATAGGTTTTGAATAAAATAAAATATGATCAGTGTCATTGGAATGATGACAAATTTATAAAGGTGAAATTAATATGAAATGTATGCCCATGTTATGAAACTAGTTTTAGAAGTTGTTCATCCATTGATATTGTGAGCTGTTGAATTTCTTTATGTGAGACAGACCGTACATCATCCAAATAGCATTCCAAAGTTAATCTTTGCTGATAGAAGTTACTATCTGCCAATGTAAACCTTCCCCTTCAGAATGCTCTACAAATCTTCTGTCAAGTTGGGCAAAGAGGCTTTTCATTTCATCAAATGCGTTTTGTGAAATACATTTTTATTCAGATATTCATTTGCTTCTTTTGCTAAATATAATGGAGTATTATTAAGCATAAAAAAATCATCATTTTTCTGGAAATGCTTGACTTCTATGGTTCAATGTGTAACTTCAAAATATGTATGCCTGAGCTATCATCTAACACCATCTGGAACTTGCCATGGGCTCACCACTTCACCATCTATATAATCTCACCCCAAAATATTGCACCATAAATGCCTTGTTGATGATTCATATGTTTCGCCACTTGTTTAAGAACATGACATGCTTTCAGATGCCTAAAAGTTTGATAGCTTGACAAAGATGGACTTTCATAATTTCTTTCTTGATACAGAACACAGATTGGCAAGATAAAATCAAACCTGACTTGTCATCTTCCAGACTTCTTCAGATTTTGGTTGTACATGCTGATCTGTTTTAAAATTTCCACTATTGTTTTACCTTTTTGCAAATTCTGAAGTTATTAAACATTTCTCTTTATCTGTCAAATTACATTTATGGTTTATTTTAAAGCAAACTTACAAAATGGCTATTAATTTGAAACTTCAAAATTCAGGCTATTTCATAAAACAGTTGCTGTTTGTTTAGAATTGCACAGAAAAATTCCTAACTACACAAATGTTGAAGTCATTCATCAAATGAATCTTTTCATTCCAATAAGTATACACTTATTTATATATATATATATATATATATATATATATAAAACATGAAGTTGTTTATAGTGTGAGATGCAACAAATATATATTTATATAAAACTCTAAAATGAATATTTTCTATTTTTATGTTATTGATAAACACAATGCAATACTGAATTTTTTTGTGTATGTGTATGTATATAATATATATATATATATATATATATATATATATATATATATATATATATATAAATTAAATAAAAAGAAATGCATTTTTTTATTAATCTGACAGATTTTATTACTTTAACCTTATTTTTAGTGGAAGCCCATATTTGAGTAGACACTGTCTATTTATTAAACAGTAGATTTATTTTTCATCTACTGGCCTTAATATTTGAGAAATCTTATTAAAGAAAAATATGCGTATTAATAACAATCTCTAGCAAGACTAAAATCTGCATCCCCCTGGCAGAAACCAGATCCAATGACTGTGTGTGTATGTATGTATGTATGTATGTATGTATGTATATATATGTATGTGTGTGTATATATATATATATATATATATATATATATACAGTGACTACTCAAATACAGGTATCCATTAAAAATAATATTTGAAGTGTATATATATATATATATATATATATATATATATATATATCTAGTGTGTGTATGCATGTAGCCCAGCTCTGTACAGTTTGACAACATACAATTTTTCAATATTTGCAAAACTGGAATTTCCTCTCTAACAAATTTCCCTCAATCAAAGATGATTAGAATGTATTTAATGACAATCAATAATAAAATATAAATTAAATATTTTCCTGTGTATCTGCCTTCCATCTTTTAATTAATTTGATTAATTAACTAAAATCCTTCATTGTGACTAAAAACCTGTCTGTTGGCTAATGATACATTAATTAAATTATTTCTTTGCTTGAATGTAATTAAGCTTACAAATAATTATTTTAATTCTTCCAAAAAATGTACGCACTTTGTTTTGCTTTTTTTCTCTTTTTCTATTTCAAGTTGTTACTTTTATGCTTTTCTATTTTTCTTAGATTTTAATATTCACCTTGATATTATTTGAAATAAGAAAAATGGATTCTTTTCAGAATTCAATTTTTCTTTTTAACATATTGCTACAATTTAACATCATTAATAATCTTTTCTCAGGTCGTCATACAAAAAGTCAAAACCTTATAATAGAATTAGAAAAGATAGAAAAATTTACTTATATACATTATATGACATTTCCAATAGATAAAATCTTGTAACATTGTCTTTTATATAACTGGCAGTCCTGCCTTAGAAATTGATATTCACAAGAGTGTTATAGAATTAGTTTTTGAGTTTTATTATGAAAATTAATTTGTATCCAGTATTGTTGTTCCACCACCTTTTTAAGATATGTTTAAAACCTTAAATTTTGTTTTATGTTTTTTAAATACTTTAAACAAAACTACAATTTACTTATGGGACCATTTCCTTAAACTCCAATTTCACCCAGAAAGCTGTGGAGAGACATGATCAAACACCTCCTGAAAGGACAGAGCATCCGGGGGGGGGGTGATGAAAATTCTGGTAATGTATGTGTCTGTCTATCTCATATATATACATACATATACACACACACACACACATATATATATATATATATATATATATATATATATTGAAATGGATTAAGTTTGACAATTATTTAAAATATATTCTCTGTTTATACATTATTTTTATAAATACCATTTATTTTTAAGTAAATGCTCTGTTTTTAATTAGATAGTATTAATCACATTTACTGGCCTGAGTGTTCAAGAAATTTCATAGAAAATATGCATTTTCCGACAGGAATCAAACCTGTAGTCCTATATGGAAATTGTTATTTGACCTGATGTGCTGTACCATTCAGCTACACAGAAGCATCTGGTTGGCAAAGTCTGAATTACTGTTTATAAACACACAATCTTTGATGATTTTTCTTGATAGATCATTTCTGTTCATGAAACATATCTTAACATAAACAATGACAACATATAATAAAATGGATTAAGTCCAACAATTATTTAATATATTTTCTGTTTATAAATTATTTTTAAGTAAATGCTCTATTTTTAATTAAACGGTATTAATTACATTTATCAGCCTGAATGTTCTATTCCTGTTGAGGAGCGCATATTTTCTATGAAATTTCTCAAACATTCAGGCCAGTAAATGTAATTAATACTGTTTAATTAAAAACAGGGCATTTACTTGAAAATAAAATGTATCTATTAAAATAACATATAAATAGAAAATATATTAAATAATTGCCGGACTCAATCCATTTCATTATATGTTGTGATTGTTTACACTAAGATATGTTTCAAGAGCAGAAATGATTGATTGAGAAAAATTGTCAAAGATTGTCTGTTTATAAACAGTAATTCAGACTTTGCTAACCAGACACTTCTGTGTTGCTGAATGGTACAGCACATCAGGTCAAATGATGATTTCCGTATAGGAAACAGGTTCAATTCCTGTCAGAAAATATTTTCTATGAAATTTCTCGAACATTCATGCCAGTAAATGTAATTAATACTGTTTAATTAAAAAGAAAGCATTTGTATTTATAAAAATAATGTATAAATAGAAAATGTATATATATGGTTATGGAGGCACAGTGTTATAATGAATAGCGGCTTGGACTGGGAAATCAGGGAGCCAAGTTCACATTCACTTATGCCCAAATATCATTGGGAAAAGGCATGAATCC